ATGGCTTGCTAATTGCATAATCAGAATTCCAATCCCATGCAGAATCTTCATCAATCATAATGTCTCGACTTATCACAATTTTCTCATTAATTGGATTGAATAGCCTGTATGCACCAGTTTTATGACATCCTACCAGAATCATAGGTTCACTCTTGTAATCAAGTTTCCTTCTTCTTGCATCAGGAACATGCTTGTAACACATAGAGCCAAACACCTTCAGATGACTCACTGATGGTCGTTTGCCACTCCACACGTCTTCAGGAACCTTGTTCTTCAATTTCTTGGGAGGACATCTGTTCAGAATATAAACTGTAATTGAAACAACTTCACCCCCATAAGGATTTTGGCAAATTCTTCAGCTTCAACATGCATCTTTCCATATCCAATATAGTCTTGTTTCTTTATTCCACAATTCCATTATATTGAGGAATATACAGAACAATTACCTCATGATCGATACCATGTTCTGCATAGAAATCTTCAAACATTTTGGATGTGTATTAGCCACCTCCATTTGTTCGTAGAACTTTGATCTTCTTCTCACTCTGGTTTTTGACAAGTATCTTGAATCTCTTAAAGATTTTAAATACTTTGTCCTTTCGCTTGATCACATAGATCCAGAGCTTTCGACTATACTCATCGACAAACAAAACAAAATATATGTTTCCACCAATGGTATGCTCTTCAAATGGGTCAGATACATCTAAATATACCAATTTGAGTATTCAAGATGATCTCATTGGCATAGTCAAAAAGAAGGAATTTATGGATTGTTTTCCGACTTAACAACCTTCACAGAGTTTGTCGGGCATCTCAAGACTTGAGATACCAATTTCTGTATCTTAAGTAATCCGTTCATTGAGTGATCGAAAGTTCAAATATCCAAACCTCATATGCCATAACCAACTATTCTTGTGGTCGATAACTCTTTTCAAACATTGAACTTCTGTCGGATTGATCATAGTCTTAAACGTATGATTCTTTGACAGTGGAGATTTAAAGACCACATTGTTATGGGTGTCGAACAGTTTTAAAGATCCATCTTTTATGACGAGTGAGAAACCTTTTTCGACCAGTTTTCCAACACTTAACAGGTTACACTTCATTCAAGGTACAAAAAGTACATCTTTGATCATAGCTTTCGCTCTATTACTTATTTGAAAAACTATGTTACCGGTACCTTCTACTTGCAAAGAGCTATTATTTGCAAGTTTGACCTTACTTTTCTTTGAATCGTCGAAATCTACCAACGACATCTTTTGACCAGTCATGTGATTCGAGCAGCCTGAGTCAAGGAACTAGATCATGAATTCGACATTGTTATCTGCACCTGCATCCATAACCACCATGCCTACAGAATCATCTGAATCTTGGTGTGCAAGCTTCGCTCCTTTAACCTTGCCTTTTGTCGATTCCTTGTCTTTCCTGTACCAATAATGCTTGGACAAGTGACCCAACTTTTTACAGTTATAGCACTACACACCTTTTTTCTCTTCTTTCTATTTCTAATATGAATATCCTTCTCCTATTTTTGAAGATTCAGAAGCTCTGTCACCGACCTTATTCTTGTGTGGATTCAACCAAGAATTATTGCCTTGAATCTTATCGAATTTTCCTTTGAATTTATTGGAACCACTATTATTTTTCCATGAATAAACCTGTAGTGTTTGTATCGAGTCTTGAACTATTTTCCTTTTGACAATCCTAATCTCATGTGCTTCCAACGAACCAACCAAAATTTTCAGTTTTATGGTTTCAAGTTAGTTTGATTCTTGAATAGCTACGATAATGTGATCAAAGTGAGAGGTCAACATATGAATTACCTTCTCAATTATCATCTTATTAGTTAGAGTTTCGCCACAACCCTTCATGAGATGGACGGGTTTATGTACCTTTGACACATACTTTGCAATCTTTCTGTCTTCTCCCATTGACAATAATTCATATTATCGATGCAAGGTCTGCAACTTAACAACCTTGACTTTCTCACCTCCTTCATAGTACTTGACAAGAATATCACATGTCTCCTTCGTTGATTCAGCATGCGAGATTCTGTCGAAATTCGTTGCATCGATTGTCGTTTGAATGCAATAAGCAACCTTATAGTCCTTCTTCCTGGCTTCATTGTTGGCGGTTTTATGTGTATCGGTTGCATCTGCAACTAGCGCAGGAACGTCATCGGTAACCACTTATAGGATTTCATGAAAGCCAAACAGAGATTGCATATGTTTTCTCCATCGAATCCAATTCTTGTCGTCAAGAGTTGGAAGAGAATTCATAATTCAATTAGTAGTATTCATCTTCACATCGATTGATTGACAATAACCCACAATCTAGGAAACACGACCTCTGACGTGTGATTCTTGAGAACATAATCAAGAATCTAACTGGAGCTCTAGATACCAATTTGTTAGTGTGTGAGGCACTTTTAGTGAGGAAAGAAAGAGAGAGAGTAAGAAAGTAAGGATTCTATTATTGAATTAATTGCACAAATAATGATACAAACTATGACTATTTATATATACCTAACTTATACACTAAGTGAGCTAACAAATCTTAATTAATTAGGCTTGGGCTTAGGTTACACAACTTGGACCGGGTCTAATATCTCAACATTCACTCATATATGATTTTTATTGCATAATTGTAAAGGGATCTCCATATCTTCAAAGACAAAATATTTATTTTGGTCTCTTAACTATATCCTTAGGTTCATATTAGTTCCTTAATTTTTTTTCGTGTCACCTTAGTCCTTTAACTTTCAAAATATTTAATTTTAGTCTTTTTTATTTAATTAGCGACGAAATTTTTTAAAATTGGTCACTAAATCTGTCGCTAATTAGATAAAAAAGATCAAAATGAAACATTTTGAAAGTTAAGGGACCAAGGTGACACGAAAAAAAATTAAGGGACCAATCTGAACTCAAAGGTATAGTTATGAGATCAAAAAAGATATTTTGCCTATCTTTAAAATATAAAAAAAATGCATATCAATTATTTATTTGTAAGTTATCCATTAAACAAATATGAAATTAACTGAGAAATCTATAATCAAAATATCCGATAAATATTATAGATTTAAATTGTATATTGTTCTCGGGAAATTAGTGTGTTTTTGTTTTTAGTCCCTAATCTGTTTTTTTTTTTAAATAGTTCCTAAATATTAATTTTTTTTAGTTTTAGTCTTTAAATTCAAAATTCACAAGAAAATCTGTCAATTTTTTGCAAACTTTCCTTCGAATTTTTTTACTGATTTAAAATCGATAGATTTCTTATAAATTTTCCTTCGAATTTTCTTACAAATTTTAACTTCAGAGATTAAAACTAGAATGATTTTAACATTCAAAGATATTAAAAAAAAATAAAAATACATTAACTTACAAAAATCAATAAACTATTTAAACCAAGATTATAATACCGAATAACTATGGTGTAAGTTATCAAGTGAATAAATCTTCATACCAAAATACTTGAAACCAAATTATCTAATTAATGAAAAGTATGTATCAAAACACTTTAAATAAAGTAATTTGGTACTCTAGTGTAGATATGCAATGCAGGTCACTAATTTTAAAAAAGTTAAATAAAATAATAAAAACTAAATAATAAATTATTTAATAGATAAAAAGAATAAAATAAGAATATTTTAAAAATTGTAGCAATGAAAGGATAAATATAGCATGGGTATGAGTAAAGTTTTTCTATATTGCCCCCACAATTGTCCCAATGTACGGTGGGCCCAAACTAAACTACCCACACCTAGTACAGCACCATGTCTGTCTAGATGCTTAAGAGTGGAAACGGAGTATCTCTTTAAAAACTTTCTCAACTCAAGTGACAAAACCATAATAAGTGTTTCTCCTTCTTATCTCATTCAAATAATTTTGTAAATATATTCTATAAATTTAAATGAATATTGAATATTTTTTAATATAAAAAATTCCCGGCAGTAATAACTAAAAAAATATCATGAATTTTTTGTTCTTGAGGTATAAATTTGTTTATTTATATTTGAAAAAAAACACTATTAATGAAACTAATAAATACCATACGTAGTTGACAGAACAAATTTAAGGTGGTCCCTTCATTATTAAGATGAAAACGTGAAAAATCCTAACCGGAAACATTGTTCTCAAAGAACTATAGAAGCCAACAAGATGGTGTTGGAGAAACCGGATAATGTATGGCTCAAAACATGAAGCAAGAGACAATTATTATGATGCTAATACAGCTACCCAACCCCACTGTTTGTGATAATTTGCCGTAAATATGTCCCGTTCATTACCAACGAAAAAAAAACGTGCCTATCTATCTACTAACACCAAACAGGAATGACAGGTTGCCAACCTTTTTAAACTTTAAATTAAACTCAATGTCTTAAAACTCTAAATCACAAGTTCAATTACGTGATCCAATCAGTAGTAATTACCACACAGTCTTAAAAGTCTAATTTGATAAATTAATTCAGGACTATAAAATTATAAATGAGTTTAAACGATGGGTAAAATTTAATGTGAATTGATTTGAGATGTTAGTTTTAAAGTTAAATCCTAATTCAACCCGTCAAAAGGTGCAGACAAAGTAACACAGTCCGGTTTTTTAAACAACAATGTTCGAATCCAACTTGATATTATCCCCCAAAATAACCACAAAACCAAGCATTCATCTGTGTAGTCCACATCCAACGTTATCAGCAATGAACGAACGTAGATTACTTTGTTATTTTCGGTTACATCAACTACTACAAACATAAACGGCCAAAATAAACAAGAATCTAAAGTCATGACATTTTAACATAAACAAAACAATAACATAACTACTGTACAAGGAACACAAGCATCAAATCTAGTCTCCTAAGCTTGCTTTCTCTGAATCCATCGACCTTTCTCTTCTCACATCAAAAAGACAGGAGTTAGGAGACTATAGATCATAAAATATCTGTAATCTTTGAATCCAAGATGCTCGAGATATAGACTATAATCATCATTATACGCCATTTTTTAAGCAACGCTTATGATGTTATCTCCGTTGTTGAAACATGGCATTGCGTGTAAAGCTGAGTGTGTTGATGATGTCTTCCTTTGATCAGATGAGAAGGAAAGCCCAAGTGAGAGTGTTGGAGGTTCAATAGATGAACTTGAACTAGAGGTGATATCAGAGACAGTGGAAGCTTTAGGATCTGAAACAACAAAAGGAATTGGATGGAATAGATTGGTTGTGAAATTTTGTTTCGCATTTCCTTGTCCTAGAGTGAGTTCTTCCATTGGACTCTCACCAACACCCAAATGATATACTGACATAAAAGGAAATTCATTGCTTTTTCTAGTTTCAGGGGCTGCAGGACACATGGGCTGTACTTGTGAAACACTGTCTTGATTCTTAACCTGGTCTTCCTCCATTGGAATTGCAGACACCTGACACATACAAAAAAAAATGATCAGATCATGAAAATTTTATTCCTGTTTTGTTTCTCGTTGCCTGAAATTTCTGTATAATACTAATTCATGACTGGAACAAACGTAAGCCTTAGAATCTGTTATGATATTAGGTGTTGCTTATAAACTACCTTAGCTTTGATTTCCAAAAATTCAGACTTTTTGGTGTACCGGAACAAAATCTTAGATCATTTCATTCTAATGTTGTTAACTTTCACTAACAACCAAATGAGTTTCACAAAAAAAGCAGAAGTTTCATTTCCATTTTACTGTTTTCTTTTCTCTTTCAAACTCCTAACACAGTAAAAGTAAAAGTAATAGTGTTTTGTTTGACTATTGAATCAAACTTCGAAGACTAATAAATAACAGAGAAAATTGAATGCCATAATTATACTCTATTGATTAGGAATATAACTAATTGAACACAAGTTCATACCAAAAGTTTCTCACTATTTCTATATAGAGATTGCTGAAAAATCAATTTAATTTTAATTAAAAAAAAAGAAGCTAATCAAGCAGTTTGAATGGAATATTATGATGATGATGATGATGATGGAATTACCGAGTCGGTGGTGATATCAAAGAGACTAGATCTACGGCGACGGCGATTGAGGTTACTTCGCCGGAGAAAGTATTTCTGAGCATGACTTGCAACCTGCGTCGGCGTTCTTGTTTTCACATAGTTTCTTGAGATTCCTCTCCAATCACCTTTCCCTACTTTCTGCAATCCAACCAAGAACAGCTTGTGCTCTTCCTCCGTCCATGGAATTCCTGATCCATTCAAAATTCACAAACAAATCAACATCGATTATCATTGGATTCAATAAAATTATATGAGAAACTATTATAAAAACAGGAAACGGTTAACGATCGGAGAGAAATGATCGAACCTCGTTTACGCTCGCGGTCGCGGTTCCTGACGGAGTTAATCGGAACGGCGTCATCAGCGGAGGCATAACCGGCGGCGATAGCGTCTTTATTATTATCGTCCTTGATATTGTTGTTGTTGTTGTCGTGAGATTGTTCGTACTGTGATAGATTGTTCATGCTAACACTCTTCCTCATGGAATCAACCACAACTCTAACTCCGAAGAGCATGAATTCGCCGGAGACGGCGGCGGGGGAGGCGGAAGACATAATCGGAACGAGCGATGATTCTAGAAGAAAACTGACTCGGTGAGAATCGGTGGAAAACGAGTGAGTGAGTGAGTGACTCGGGGAAAGGAATAGAAATAGATAGAGAAAGAGTGAGTGAGAGAAAGAAGAGATGGATAGAGAGATGAGACTCAGTGCGTGGTGGTGAATATAAGAGTTTCAGACGGCAATGAGGTGGAGACCATGTGGGGTGACAAATTTTTACAATTAAATATCTTTTTTCCTTTTTTTTCTTTTTTTTTTTATTTACAAAAAATACTCGCTATATATATATTAAGAAAAAGTATAAAAAGATAAATGAAAATAATATTTTTATTATAATATAGTATCCTTAATCATATATTAAAAATGATAAAAATTTAATTAATTAAAAAATAAAATTAAAAAATATATATTAAAAATTGAAATAAATCATTTATTTAAGATATTATTTTATTCTAAATAGATGATGTGTAAATGATATAGTAGCAGTGGATTTTGTAAAATAAATGCTGGCGTGATAGCTTACCCTTCGTACATCTGGTATAAATTTTATCATGTGTTAAATCTTGTCCTTTTACTATTATATCCAAAAATGAATCCCTTACCTTTTCTCAGGATAGGCAATTTCAAGACGGGGATGCTAATTTTTATAGACAAAGTATATTATTATTCCATATTTGAAGCATCTATAATTGATTTTAGAGGGAGACTATTTATTTTTCAGATTTTTATCATAAAAATATGGGAAATGCTAACTCAGGGCTCTGGTTAATTAAAAAAATGTAAGTTGGACATTTTCATTAAAAATTAAAAAATATAGTTTTTTTAAAAAAATATGTATATTAATTGCGTTGAAAATATAAATATTTTTTTTTAAAATTATTATATGTATTCAATATATTGAATATATAATATTTTCTTTATTTCGAATTCTTTATTGAATATATTGACACGGGTAAGTAAGATTTAAAAAATATTTATTATTAATTTTAGATTAAATATTCCTTCCATCTTATAATAGATGTTTTTTTTGAGATTTTTATACTTTTTAAAATAATAATGATTATATATATTCTAATGATAAAATGAGTATCATTTATAAAAATAATCTAATTAGTAATAGATAATGAAATAGTTATATGAATTAAAACACAATAGTAAGTTAGTGGAAATAATAATAAATATAACATTAATATTTTAAAAGAATAAATAATTTGAGATAAATAAAATATAAAATATGACACCTATTGTGAATAAGAGAGAGTATAAATAAGATAAATACGTCAATTTGATATTTAGACGTATTAAACTTTAATTTTGAACTTCATTTTACTAATTAATTTATTTTGTTTAAGTATTCTAACAAGTCCCTAACCATGGATCATCATTAAAAAATATTGGATCAATAAATTTCATTGGATCTTACAATAAAATATTCGTACTACATTATTAAAAAAATCTCTCTTCCTGCTTCCTTTCCCACCTTAGTGCAACCAAAGTGATGCAAGAAACTGCTGCAAGTCACAATATCATATCTAACCGTAGTGAATTTCGGGCTTTGATATTTTTAACTGAGATCAATCTGTTAATCTCTATGATATCTTTATTTGGTTTGGCAATGGTGTTATCTTCAAATTTATAGAAATCATGACTTTCCAATTGTTGTTGTTCCGCCACACCACCGTGAGCCCGTCATGTCGTCGCATTCGTTCATAGCAGAATCGTCATCTCCGTCGTTTTTTACTCACTTCCATTTCATTGAAAAAATCACTCCCTCCAACACTCAAAATCTGAAGAGATGTAGTCCACACAACTTCTTTCATCGGATTCGACTGTCTCTAGATCCATGGAGACCACACATCTCCTTCGACTCCTTATGGATTTGAAAACATCAAAGTTTCGAGTAGAGATTCAGACTTTGCTTGATTATGTTCATAAGCAAACATGTTACAATAATGGAGTTGATAAGTACAAATTTGTGGGAAACAAGAGAAGACTTAGATAGTGGAAGGTGAATATGTATGACACGAAAAAATATTACTTTCAAAGACTAAAGTGTTTTGGGAGAGAAAAAATTATATTATGTGATAGAATGAATCATAAAATTTTATCGAACAACTTAATCCAATGCTTAGTAGTGATGATCCACCATGAACCACTTAATTGGTGGTCCACCTTAGACACAACCTTATTTTATATAAATTTTATGTTGGATTTATTTTTAAAATTGTTTTTTTTTGTTAGGTATTTGGTTTGCGCCTAAGCTCAACAAATGTGTCAAATAGAGAAATGTGTTGGATATTTTGATGTGGTTAGGTGGTTAGAGGGAAATGATAGTTATATAAAGGATATGGATTGATCAGTGGTTTTTACACCGTTATCTACCGTTGATTTTAATTATCTTTCTTTAGTTTGTCAAATGTTTTACTTCGTTCTTCTACATTTTATGCGTTGGTTGTGTGTTTAACTGTTTGTAGGCTCACGGGAATAAATCGGGATAAATCAGTACAAAACTCGGAGTTTCGAAGGAAGTGAAAAAATGTTGTTACAGGAGGCCTGACACGGCCACCCGTGTCACCTGACACAGGCCGTGTCAGGATGGAATGCGTGCAAATTGGGGAAGTCATGAGGCTGACACGGGCGGTTGTGTCACCTGACACGGGCTATGTCAGCATGCTTGGGACTTGAGAAAATAAAAATAGATACCATAGGGCCAACACGGGCGGCCGTGTCACCTGACACTGGCTATGTTGGCCAGTGATGCTGATTTTCTGACTTTTTCCTATTTTGTCCATATGTTAAGTTGCGGGGGAGTTTTTGGTACTTCCAACCGATCTAAATGAATGATGACTATTTAGATGAGTTTTCACAAGGAATTAAGGGACTTTTTGCCAGCAGAGATTTTTGACGATTGAAGAGAGCAGCATATGAGATTATTGGAGGACGGGGATTTTTCATGAACGAAAGGGATTAAAGATCAAAGTTCATTAGCTATTTGTAATGTCTACTTTTATATTATTGAGATTCTTTTGAACAGTATGAGTAGCTAAACTCCCCAATGCTAGGAGGTGTCCATGATTTGATTTTCTAACGACTTTGAATTCCTAATTTCACAATACAATTATTTTTCTTATTCAATTTAATTGTACAAGGTTTTTAATGCTTTCTTTGTCGGATAAACAATGATTGATTTATGGTTAACAATTAGTTGGACCGCGGTTGTTAAGGTTTTTATAAGATTATAATATAGTAGATATCACCTAGGACTAGGGGTACCCTATAGTTACCGGTTAACTCTTGATAACACAAAGGCTTGATTTCATCACAATTCTCTAAGGACTTAGGATTTAGGATTAATGTTCAAAGGTTTTCCTACTAAGGACTTAGGGGAAAATAACCTGAAGAGCTGGTAATTGAATGTTATGAACTTGTTGAAGAAATCAGGATTCATGGTTGTTATAAGGAAAATTATACACCTTACCCTAGCATGCTCCTCATACCTAAGAAAAAGTCAATTTATATTTCAGCTTATTTTTAAATGACAATTTCCAAACAAAACCCAACTATAAATTTTTGGTTAATTGAAGCACGAACTGAACTTGATACTTTTACGCAGTTGTTGTACCCAAAAATTTTATGTCCCATCTTTGAGAAAAATTTATTCAAGATACCTCCTTGTGCTCATAGGAGTCTCAAACACTGAAGACTTATCAAAGATTGATCAGATAAACTCTCCTCCTAAGCAATTGATCTACAACTAGGGTTTTGCTTCTATCAAAGGAAATTGAGTTTCTAATTAATAAAATGGACTTCATGGTTTCTCATATGTATCAAGGTACCCTCATGTCAAGTTTCAAGCCTTGCAGTACAAATTTGCTCAGTCAATTAGTTAGATGATTGAAAATCAGCTGTATTGGACAAAAAAGTCAACTTTGTCCAATCTATAGCCAAACTTCAAGATTTTTAATCAACATTAACATTTTGAAGTCACATTCATCAATTTATCAAGGGTTGATCATGATTCATCAAGAAAAATAAAGATTCATCAAAAGTCAAAAGTTACTAAATTACGGTTTTCTTAAGGAGAAGTCAACTGAACTTTGACCAAACATAACTTTCACATATTTCATCAAAAATTTCTCAACCAAAGCCTATCTTGAAGTAAATTTAATTATCTACAACTTTCTCTCTCTAAGATCAAGGCCAAAAAATGCTTCATTTTAGAGATATGAGTTAAAACATTACAGGTCATTTTAAAAGTCAACAAAAAGACATATTTTGTCAAAGCAATTTACATCCAGTTAAAGACTTCAAATGAAAAAATGACTAACATGAAAGTTGTAGGAGACATTTTAAGGTTTACAAAAAGTCCAAGATAATATTCATATGACAAAAATTGAGAGAGTTATTTTTGGTGCAAGCTGAGCAATTTTGAGAAAATACATAAAGTTCAAATTGAGCAAATTTGAATTTTTAGGCTAATGGGTCTAAGTTTTTAGGTTCGAACGTGTTCACGACCTTATAAAGAACCCCTAAATACATTCACAATTATTGTCGAGCCCAGGGTTTCTCCTCTGATCATTACCGCACCTGCACCAATTCCATATTCCTCTAACAAGGCTATCCCTTGGAATTATGGATTTGATGTCTACTACCATGGCGTCAAGCAAGAATCATTGGTTGTCGATGATGAAAATACCGAAGTTACTGATCCCAATGCTGGAAATATTGTTGGGACTAGTAAGGTTATTAGAAGAGGAAGGGTTTTCTCTCCAGAGATCTCTCCAAAGGCTGTTACTACACCAGTTCATATCACTGTTATTGAATCAATTGATGAGTCTCAAGGAAAAGAACAGATGACTGAGCCTGCCTAGAATGAGGCACCAAAAGAGGTTACTGTTGAAGATACCTCCAAGCAAGATATGTATGAGGTATTGAAAATTATTCGAAAGAGTGACTATAAGATTGTTGAACACTTGACGCAGACCCCCTCCAAAATA